GTGTATAAGTGTGAGTTTGTGTGAGTGCATGTATAAGTGTGAGTTTGCGTGAGTGTGAGAGCGTGTATAAGTGTGAGTTTGTCTGAGTGCGTGTATGTGTGAGTGTGAGTTTGAATGAGTGTGAGTTTGTGTGAGTGTGTATGAGTGTGAGTTTGTGTGAGTGTGTGTATGAGTGAGTTTGTGTGAGTGTGTGTATGAGTTTATGTGAGTGCATGTATGAGTGTGAGTGTGTATGAGTGCGAGTTTGTGTGAGTGTGTATGAGTGTGAGTTTGTGTGAGTGTGTGTATGAGTGAGTTTGTGTGAGTGTGTGTATGAGTTTATGTGAGTGCATGTATGAGTGTGAGTGTGTATGAGTGCGAGTTTGTGTGAGTGTGTATGAGTGTGAGTTTGTGTGAGTGTGTGTATGAGTGAGTTTGTGTGAGTGTGTGTATGAGTTTGTGTGAGTGCATGTATGAGTGTCAGTGTGTATATGAGTGTGAGTTTGTGTGAGTGTGTGTATGAGTGTGAATTTGTGTGAGTGCATGAATGAGTGTGAGTTTGTGAGTGCGTGTATGAGTGTGAGTTTGTGTGAGTGCGTGTATGAGTGTGAGTTTGTGTGAGTGTGAATTTGAGTGAGTGTGTGTATGAGAGTGAGTTTGTGTGAGTGTGAATGCGTGTATAAGTGTGAGTTTGTGTGAGTTTGTGAGTGTAAGTGTGTGTGTACCTACTTACCCAAAAGTGCACAAAACCTGACTAAATCGCCAAAAACCTCCATCTGGGGATGTCCCAATTTGTAAAACTTTTTTTTTTTTTATTGTAAAAATGCAGAACATTTTCTGTGAGAGGTAGGATTAGGGGTAGGGGTGGGTTTAGGTTAAAAAGTGTATAACTATCTGTATATAAAAACAATAGAAGTCTATGTAATTTCCCCATTTAGATAGCTAAGTAAACGTACGTGTGTGTGTGTGTGTGGGTGTGTGTGTGTGTGTGTGAGAGAGAGAGTGTGTGAGTGTGAGTGTGTGTGTGTGTGTGAGAGAGTGTGTGAGTGTGAGTGTGTGTGTGTGTGTGAGAGAGTGTGTGAGTGTGAGTGTGTGTGTGTGTGTGAGAGAGTGTGTGAGTGTGTGTGTGTGTGAGTGTGTGTGTGTGTGTGTGTGTGTGTGTGTATGAACCTGTGAGTGTGTTTCCTCCTTTATAAGGCAGAGTCTTCACGGCGTCGATGACAGCCTCTTTAGTGCTGTGAGTGTTCAGATGCCACTCAATCCGCGGATCCCCGCTGTACTGCGCCAAACCTGAACACACACACATTATTAACACACTAACACACAGCGCAAACACACAAGAAACAAACATACAAACGAGACTGCAGACGCACCAACACGTGTGTGTTCAGATCCAACCGCGAAGGCCCTGACGAGACTTTCCAGAAACATCCGCACCAAACGGAAATTAATTCGGCCGATGCTCCATGATCCATCCACCAGGATCACGATATCGGCAACGGCTGGAGTTCTACATGTGAACACGTCCACTAAAGAGACAGACAGACAGAACAAACACTGGATGAAACGACAGCAGCAGATTGGTGCTTATGACAGAATAAATGTTAGCACGAGGGCTGCGGTCTGAACAACGCTCAGGTCAAAGGATAAATAACACAAACACTCAGAGTGCTGATGAATGTCTTTATTTCAGTTTTGGACTGTCAGATGTTTCAACTACAACACTAATGTGTCTGATTCCCTCATGACGAGCCTGAGCCGCCTCTGAACCGGATGAAAGATGCTCTAACCTGCAGAGAAACATTCAAATCAAGAGCAACAAAACAGCATTAAAACACAGGAGAGAACAGTGTATAGAATAGCGTGTAGAACTGAGTGTAGCGTGACGCCATGCATGTGTTCTGCTGTTCCTGCTGTAACATGTTCAGCTTAAACTCTCTGAATTTGTCTTTCACTCTCAGATGCCTGGCTTTTCTTTTACCCATAATGCCATGCTTGGTCAAGTCTATACACATTAGGAACGTGTGCTTTCAGAAGTCTGTGACCGCCTTGTGGTGTGTGTGGAATGAAAGTCAAGCTGTTTGCACAAACGAGTGAAAGCACACATTCTGCTATGTCAGAGTGAAGGTCAAAGGTCAGGGTAAATCAGGGCTCAGGGTGGAGACAGTGGCTTATTCACACCAAGAACAATAACTATAATGATAAACTATAACAGCATTCACATCAGCAGACGATAACATTGTGTTTATTGTAAGCGCTGCAGTTTTGTCCTGTCTTTAAATGCTCGAGCTCTTTAAAGCAGGCTGGATTCTGATTGGCTGTCAATGTGTTTATCATTCATCAGCTGGAAAACAATCACTCTGAAAGTGCTTATTAAAACTTTATGGTTATAGCTACTGTTCTTGAAGTGAACGGCCTTCACAATACACCTGGAAACATGAATACAAAATGTTTGTTTTGTTAACGTCTCATTCACATTTAGCCAGAACCTAATGTAACTGGCTATAATTGACTACATGATGCATACATAAATGATCAGGAGGATAAGACTTAAATAACGATCAGATAACAGTCAATATTTAAATGTAACAAATAACATTAGCAGCTATTAATTCGCATGAATAATACTTCAGTATGATTTTAATGTGTGCTGTGATTAATCTTGCTTCATTTCATGATCATTTTTTTTGGTTATGAAACTTAATGTCAAATTTCGAATTTCTTGACATTAGTTTCTAAATATATACATTTTTCCTTTATTTGTCCAAAACGAAGCACATTCAGTCAGTCAGTTCAGCAGATTGTTTCATATATAGCTTAAACTATGAATCACATCAAGAGTTCGAAAGAGTCATATAATACAGAAATAAACTTCATTTCGTTGCAATGTGAATTTTCACTCAGCCTTCAGTGTGAAGCATTTCAGATGGACACATTGCTTCATTCTGAACAACCTGTCAAGACAAAAATGAGTTCAGTGTGAATCTGCCTTGAGGGTTAGAGAGGGTCAATGTTAGGGTCAATGTTAGGGTCAGTGTGGGGTCAATGTTAGGGTCAGTGTGGGGTCAGCATTGTGTTAGGTAATGTGTAGTTCATAGCACGTTCATTCCTTCCGACTTTTTAACTTGAAAGTCAACATGAAATCAAAATGTACCCTATATTTACTGAATACATCATCCTGCTCGTTGTGAATGATTTATCAGTGCCGTCATTATCAAAAATATTTCATCAAAATAACTTGCTCTTCCTCTGAAATAACTTTTCTTTTTAGCAGTCTCTCTGTTTTTAAACCACCTGCCCAATCAATGCTGTAGGTAAAAGACATTTTAGGAAGATATATGACTATCCTTTTCCACTCTGAAATGTCAAGATGGGTTACAAACAATGTGTCATGACGGCTTTAATTCAGGGATCACCCATAGCCACACAAACACACTGTGTAAATGATGATTATATGTGACCTAAAGCTACACTGAACGACAGCTAATAGTCAACAAGAGCAAGAGAGAGAGAGATGATAGAGAGAGAGAATGACTGCAGGAAAGAGAGATACGTGGGCACACCTGCATGCCCATAAGGCACAGAGACACAGAGAGAGAAATGAATGAAAGTATTTAGCTAGTGTAGACTTGCAGAGAGAAACTGCGCAGAGACATCAGGACAGAAAAGGAGACGGTGAATGAGAAAAGACACAGTCGCATCACTGTCAGTGTTTCTGAGGCCTAGTGCTGTCAGAAGTACCGATGTCGGTGCCTGACGATACCAGCATTTCCCGTAGCATTTTGAGCGGATTCTTAAACAGCTCTGATTGGCCATTGTGTTCTCCTGCTCAACAGATATGTCTGTGATTGGCTACAATGATCGCGTCTATCAGCGGATCCCTAATATATCTGCTCATAGATGGAGCGCTCAGAATGCTAGGGGGAAATGCTGGCATCGTCACATTTTTTACATTTTAGTACCGTCTGGTACCAACATTGGTACTTTTGACAACACTACCGAGGCCGTGTGACTGTGACGCAGTGCTGGGCGAGCTTTCAGATTTTATTGATCAATTCGAATTTTTGCTACAATTAAATTTTTTTAAATCAAGGAATCGCGGTTTCAAATAAAATTATTAGTAAACATTACAATTAGACACGTTGATAGTATGCTAATGCTAAGAGATCATGCGCAGCTGATGACGTGTGTCGCGCTACACAAAGGAGCGTAACGCAGAACGTATCGCTAGTCCTGATGTTCACACAGAATGCATTTGTGCTGAAAAACACCAGACGCAAGCTTATGAAACGCCAGCTGAGCTTCTTTAACTCCTGCGCCATGTTTTTAGACACTGTTTCATGAGCGAGACAACGCGATGCAGCGGTGAAACACACCCATCAGGCACATGTTTACATAGAAAAGCAAAGGAAAAGCAGAAAGCAGTGCAGAACTACTACTGTATGTCTGATATTTGACGCGTGCATGATGCTGACAGACTGAAAGCTGCTGCTGTTTTCATTCACTGTTACTGACAGTCAGGAAGAGTTTGAATCGTCTCTAAAACTGAATGTCTACATTTTGGCTCAGAAATATTTAGCATTTAAAATTATTTCTAAACATATAACATATGTTTAAGACAATATTCGCCTTGATATTTCATGCATCTTCTCTGCAAAGATATTTAACAAGTGAGTTTGTCTGCACTTGAAACAGAACTTTCTTTAACCAGATGGTTCATTACGAGAATGTTACATGAATCATGTTATAGTTACATTTTACAAGTTGATTAGTTAAACATTAAAAATGAAATCAGATAAATCTTGAATCAGTTAAACATTGTCTAGTAACTGAGATTTTATTGTTTGTAATATCGCTCAAACAGAGATCTTTTGAGAAGATTTACAGATGTGTTTCTCTCTCTTTCTTCAGCAGACGGCCCTATAATCACATTCATTATAACTCACACACACACAAATAAGCCATCAATCTCCACACTAATGTCACGTTTGCAGAGCCAAAACCCATGAGCCTCTGCGGTCGCCGTGTTTCAAGCCACCATTTAAACTGGAAACTAAATACAGCAGAGAGCAGACGCTTGTGTAACCCTCTCTAATGTTTAGAAACAAATACAAGAGACATAGAAAAGTTCAAGCTAACATTTAGTGCTGTGTGAGATTTTACATATTTCCAGCCAGACTAAATCATTTCCATTGATCGTTCTAGCTCTTAACGTTGTGTGAAAAACAGAGACTCATGAACAACTATCAGAAAACACACAAACATAAAGATCAGAAGAACCAAGAGGACGTAAAGGTCTCAAGAGCAACGTGTGTTATAGTTCAGTTATTCTTCTTATTATTATTATTGGAGTTTTGGTCCCTTGCTGCTGTCGCCTTTGGCTTGTTTAGTTGGGGACGCTTGACTGATTGCACAGACACTATTGGAAGAGAGCTGAACTGGACGATGAATCATTGAATCATCAATCAACTGACTTTAGCTGGAAAAATGACTCTTTGTTTTTGTCTTCTTGCATTATTGACAAACTATTCTCCTGTTTGTCACTGTAAAGCTGCTTTGACACAATCAGTATTGTATAAAGCGCTATACAAATAAAGGGAAAAAAATTGTGTCTGTGAAATTATTATCATGCCTCTTTATTGTTTTAAATGATTAACATCCTGCAGATTCTCCAGATGGATCCTAACACACTCTCCACAGTGACAGCAAACTGATGGTTTTCTGATGGTTTGAGGCTCTTTACGAGGTCAGTCTCTCACACAGGACCCAAATTAACCCTCGCTGAGAGTAAATGGGCTTCGGTGAGTAAATAAAGTTTTATGAGTTACTTATGTTGATTTATGAGTTACTTGTCAACACAGCACATGGTGTTTAGATCACACCGTAAGAAACTCAAACTACTCGTATCAGATCAGCAATCCACGTGAGCAAAGGCAAATAACGCAACTGTGCTTCCACAATAAAAATAACCCAACTGTGCTCCCACAATAAAAATAATGCAACTGTGCTTCCACAATAAAAATAGCGCAACTGTGCTTCCACAATAAAAATAGCGCAACTGTGCTTCCACAATAAAAATAACGCAACTGTGCTTCCACAATAAAAATAACGCAACTGTGCTTCCACAATAGAGTAGAAGAATTTGAAAGATGAATGCTTTTACATGAAGAATGAACAAGTAATCCTATCTTTTAATTAAATTCTGTCAAACCCATATCGTTTCCATCTTTTCTACCAAAGTTGTGAGAGAATTTTGTCATCACCCAGCTCTAATCTGATAAATGTGACTATAAAGCATGAAGATGTTAAGTCATTATAAGAGTTAACATCGTGATTTCTGTAAAGCTGCTCTGAAAAGCACTATATAAATATAAATAAATATATTTTAGTTAATTTGATAGCGTCTGCATCACTTGGTTCAAAAACCAGCAGCTACCCGTCTGTCCCGAGTGGATATAACACAGCGTTTCTGCAGGTTTTATGAAAGTACATTTAAGACCTTTTTAAGACCAAGTAAAGAAAATTTAAGAAATAAATTGAAGGAAACTAGAGATGCAACCGACAAGAAGTTTTTTTAAAGGGGCAAGTGAGAGAGAATTTTTTTTTTAGCTTGTTTAAAACTTCAATAACAAAAATAACCAGGGAAGCACTGAAACTTGGCCACCAAATATTTCCGGGCGAGAGCGATTCTGATTTTATTGCATTCACTGTAAAGGGCGACTGATGTTTGTCGTGCCAGATGAGGCTCCTGCAGCCTGTGTGAGTGAGAGAGAGACTCGTACAGAAATCAAAACAAATCAACACAACAGCACTCACAGAAAGTTATAGATGCATACGGTGGTAAAAAATTTGACCACAAAAATGTATAATACATGATATAGGTAAGCAACATTACACGACCAAGATGTTTCCCTGAATATCAGCACGATTGCAGTGTGATTTCATACAATAGTATTTCAATAAACAAGAGGTAAAAATTAAGTGACTTACATTTTAGACACAATAGCCGCTACTTTTAGCTTCTGATCACACTGCAAAAATCATGTTCTTCCTCAGTATTTTTGTCTTGTTTTGCAGAAGAATCAACTTCATTCCAAGGAGAAACAAGTTTTCATTATCCACTGGCAGATATTAGTTCTTGCTTTAAGCATAAACTCACTTGATTTCGTTCTTCCACATTTTGCATCTCAAGTAAACATATTGTATATTGATTTAGGAATGTTTAGATATTTCTATTGGAAAACAAGACAAAGATACTAAGGAAGATATCATTTTGTTTGCAGTGCATGCAACATTTAATGCCATGACTATGAATTCAAGACTTCTGTTCTGATTTAAGACCTTTATAAGGCATTCATTTCTACTTTCTCTTCACTTCCTCTTTTCCTCAGCGCTTCGTAAAGCAAGCAATGACACTAGCATTTCTCTGCATTAACCTCCCATCAGCATTAACCCTCTATGTGCTATGAATATGCTCTTATGACACATCACTTGTGCTGTCACTGATTCGGATAAGAGCTGGACGAATGAATGCAAATGTGAACTCTCACATTATAGAGACTGTGTCAGCCGAGCTTTAGTAAGAGTATGTCTCACTGATACTATTGTTATTATATATCTGATATATCAGAAAGACTGACTGTGATTTAGTGCTCTGAGAGTGGCGCTTTCTTCTGCTTGGGGTCTCCAGATGAAGCTCAGGACTGCTGTTTAGTTTCACCTCACCTTCTCTGATCTCATTGTCCTGCGGGTCTGCGCTGGTGTCCTGCTGACCGAGCGGCTCGCTGACGTCACTCACCTCTGACCCCGATCCCGATCCTGACAGAAGCACAGCGGCAGTCAGAGGAGACCATATCTGTGGCGTTTCTCACATCAAACAAACACATCTCAGTCATGTGTTCAGACGGGCGCTGCTCACCAGTGAATCTGCCCAGCAGGGCTTTACTCTGCGCAGCTCCTCTGATGGCTGTGATCTTCACGCTGTACTCTTTCCTGCGGTCAAACCCAGCGATGACGGCTTTGGGCTCAGATCTACTCACTATCAGCTCACGCTCGTCTCCTGATGAACAAAAGACACACGCTGAGATGTGAGACAGAACGAGACCCAGCCCAGCTCTGCTTGGCTCTGATGACAGAATTTTCATTTTTAGGTGAACTATCCCTTTAAGACTCACTTATATTTCAGACCACACAACTAGTGAAATTCATATGTATCTAGAAAGCAATAGAGCTGAAGGTGATGTGAGGCTCTCAACAACAGAACAGCTCGTTCAAAATGACTAGTTAGTTAAAGAGAGCCTGTATGATTGGGCTGGTTTAGGGTCACGTTCACTAGACACCGATCAGGACAGGAGAAGCCACACAGCGATCATCTGCAACAACTAAAACCCCATTCACACTAGAATGTGCTGTCCTTTTAATCGAGTAACTGACTGGATATATTTTATAGTGATGCATAATGACAGAGCAGTGAGAGCAGCTGAAAGTCATGCTGCAGGCGGGTTATTTCAGAAGTGCTGCTCTCATAGTCGTAACGGCAGAGCTTTAAAGCGGATGAATCGGCACACTGAGAAGTTTCCAGTAAAAATATTAGAGGAATAGAGTAAAGTTACAGGTAAGCTGGAGGAATAGTTCACCCAACAGTGAAAGTTTCCTGATTATTTACTCGACCCCAGGCCTTCTGAGATGTAGATGAGTTTCTTGGCGCTGCGTACATGAGAGGTCATGAATTAAACTGAGCTGGACCAAGGCATCAATCTTTTTCTTTTCCTGAAAATGACTGATTATTTTGCTAGAGAAGACCCTTATTTGAAGCTGCCTTAATATGGACTCTCAAAAACGGTCTGCATTGATCACTAGGGCCCGTGGGACCTTTGATTCGGCCCGCCATGCCATATCACAATATAAAAAAAATAATAAAAACAGCAAAATTTGATATTTTTAACACTTTTTTCATTTCATTTTTAATTTTTGCATTGAAATGTAAAAAACAACATAATTAAATATGATTTAAAATCATTTTTAAAATATATATTTTTATGATTGTATGATTTTTTTTTAATTAATTTTAATATAGTTTGATGTAATGCAACATTTACTATTGGCCGATGGCCCTCAATCAAGTTTTATTTTTGGCTTTTCATATTAAAACATTTGAGGATCTCCGCATTAGACTAGAAATGAATATTTTCCTCCAAAACCTTATTTTCTCTTCGGCTGCAGAAACATCTTGGATGGCCTGAAGTTGAGTATATACTCAGGAAATGTTTATTTTTGGGGGAACTATTACTTTAAAAAACAGTCAACAACCATCTAGCCATCTTCGCTCTGACACACTCTTTCAGTTTAAGTCTAGAAGATTCGTCTTTGTGGCCAATCATACAGATATAGTTCACAGCACAATCATTAGTCAGGTCTGACAGAACTTCATACACTGAGTGAATGGCATGTACAGGCCCTGTACGGACGGATTCCCCTTCCCAGCATTCTGTGCTGCTGTCCGATGATCACAAATCACAAGAGGTGGGAAAAGCCGAGACGTCTCACCTGAGTCAGTGCTGTACAGGAGTCTATAGCTGTCGAATGCTCCCTTCGGCTCCTTCCAGGTCACGCCGAGCGTGTTGGAGCTCAGCTCTTTAAAACGCAGCCTTCTGGGCATCGGCACTGCGGCACAGCGGAAACAAGAACATCCCTCAGAAAGATCACCTTTAATTAGGATGTACAGTTGCTCTGTTGATCTAATCACAGCCAGCATCTGCTGAGCAAACGCACCGTTACTGCAGATCAGCTGCTGTTTGCCCAGCAGACAGAGGTTAATTAGATCTGAACACCGAGAGTGTCTTCATCTGTGTCTGAGCGTCAAACAGATGGAACGAGAGGAAGCCACGCCGAGTCCTAACCAAACATGACCACACAAAGCTCTCGCGCTCTTTTTGTTTGTTTCAAGTCACTCGTCATTTTGTTGCAACTTACAAATGAGAATGACAACAAGCGATGATCTTGAATCAACCAAATATTGAAGTGTAACAGTGAAATCATGTCCCGTCCAGTGCTGGTCAGATTACATTCACATTACCTTCAATCAGAAACACTACACATTTTAGGTAATGTAATCTGACTACTTTCAGATTACTGGTTTATCACATTGATTTGAATAGGGTAATCTTCTACACTATTGATATAAAAATACAAAGAGAAGGAAAGTATTGCATGATGAAGTGCATTAAGCATTACATTGCATCAGGTTTGTGAAGGAACGGCAGGAGGCTTTTAAGTTGATAAAGCCAATAGTTAAATATTTCAATCATAAAATATCAAATTAAAATGTCTAAAACACTTCAACATAAAAATAAATCACTAAATGATGTGACATTAGAAAACTGTTCAGAAAAAGAAGTTCTGCTGACAAAAACAGTTCGGGAATTCCTGCATTAAAAACAAAATGACAATTTGCGTGTTTTAATGTGTTTGAAAGACAAAAGCCTTTCCGAGGCAGTGATAGACGGTTAATGATTAAATTATTAAAATGTGAATTAAGCAATTCAAACTCCTCCAAACTTAAACGTAACTTTACGAACTTCGGCTCCAAAAAGACAGAAAAAAATGAATAAGTGAAACATAATTCATGAACACTTTACTGTCAATGTAACAATAACATGCACTCAATAAAAAAGTAACTGTAATCTGATTGTGAGCATTTTAAAACATAAGAAGCACTTTATTTTTGGACTCTGATTACTTCCGGATTACATATAATTAGTTACTACCAGCACTGGTCAAGTCGCACAGCGGTAGTTTAGTTAGTTAGTAGTTTAGCGTCTGAAAGCTTGTGGCATCAGACCTGGTTAGGACACGGTGTTTCCACTAAACAAAGTCTGACTTTGTCCACGTATCTGCAACACTGACATGCAAGATTGGATGCTCGGCTTTGTGGAGAGACAGAATAATGAGAAGAGAGTGAGACTTTTGGGAACAATCCAAAGGAAGTGTGTATTTGTGAGGTCGTCTGAAGGGTGTTTATGCACAGACAGCCCAACACATGCTCATCTCTCTCCAGCCCACGCAGGCATTCTTCTCAACACTAAACGCCGTGCACTAGCCCACAAACCCGGGTTTGTGTCTCAGTCAGCAGACGTGATTCCTCTTCAGAGCGGATGCAGCAGGCAGAAGATAAAACACTGTGTGAAGAGCACCAACCTGAATGCAGGACGAATGTGAAAATGCTCTCTCCTCGGGTAAACGTCCCGGCTCGTGTCCAGTCAGAGTTTGAAACAAATGAGTTTTATACTGCCAGCGGATAAACCTCTCAAACACCTGGCAGGATCATGTCCGGCTCATGTTTCACCACAAAATCAAAAGGTTTAATAACTAAAAATATTTAATGCATAACCAAAATAAAGCCCATTTTCATTGCTGTATTGTACCATTAACACAATTAAATCCCAAACTTAAATGTCTGTAACAGAAAGAAACCATGTTACAGTAATGTGTCACAATTTGCTCTTTTCTCTGACACATTTATCACGATTCGGTTTATGCTGCCTCTGTTATTAAACTACAGGATCTGCAGCTTTGATTTCAGAGGCTGCATTCTGAACCGAATATGATGACAATTTCAGTTTAAGCAATCACGCACACAGACTGAAACTAAAGTTTTGTTAGTTTAGTTTTCTACATTATTAAACGATGGTTAAAGGATTGGTTCACCTCCAGAATTAAAATCTCCTGATCATTTACTCTCATCCGAGATGTTCACGTCTTTCTGTCTTCAGTCGCAAAGAAATTAAGGTTTTTGAGGAAAATGTTCCAGGATTTTTCTCCATATAATGGACTTCAATGGGGACCAAATCACAGTTTCAGAGCAGCTTCAAAGAGCTCTACAGGATCCCAGCCGAGGAATAAGAGTCTCATCTAGAGAAACCATCACTCATTTTCTTTAAATAAATAAACATTTATATAGTTTTTAATCACAGATGCTCGTCGTGCACTAGCTGGGCTTCCAGACTGGACGTGAACATCTTGGATGACATGGTGGAGAGTAAATGATCAGATGTTTATTCTGGAAGTGAACTACTCCTCTCACACCAGGAACAACGACTATAACATCAGCTATAACTATATTAGCGTCCACACCCGTGTTCACCAACTCACTGTTCAATCTAAACATGGCCTGCCACTTTACTGCTCAAGCTCTTTAAAGCAGAATGGATTCTGATTGGCTGTCATTGTATTTATCACTCAGCAGCTGGAAGATAAAACCACTGTTGTTATAGTTGTAGTGTGGGCTGGTTAATATAAGTGTACGGTTATAGTTCTGGCTGTTGCAGTAACCGTGTAAAGGGCTCTGTGTGCTGCAGACACCTGAGGCGCGGCGGATGGCAGGTATTTGAGTAACAGATCTGAACGTGTCTGCTGGACGAACTCCAGGTGATCAGCTCCTCCTGACAGCAGCGTTTCTGAGAGCTCTCCGCTACACTAAAGCTTCTCAAAACAGCCACATAAACATGTTTTACGGGATCATAAAAGGAACTAAATGTAGAAGTCGCTCCCGCCACAAGATCCACGGCGCTTCCAACAAGCCCAGCCACGTATTATTTTTATTAAAGGAACAGTTCACCCAAAAAATGAAAACTATGTCATCGTTTACTCGCCCAAACCTTCTGCTGAACATGAAATAATGCATTCTGAAGAATGTTGGTAAGTAAACAGCCATTGACTTGTATAGTGCTATGGCTACCGTCAACTTTTTGGCTAAACACATACTTCAAAATATCTTATTTCATGTTCGGCAGACTCATGCAGCAATAAATTGAAAGTAAATGATGACAGGATTTTCATTTTTAGGTGAACTATCCCTTCCCTGACAGCACACGTGCATCACGGAGACGTCTGCATTACATCTGTTCGCTCATCTGCTATACGTCTACAGGACGGGTCCTATCAGATGCTAAATACACGTTTAGAAGATGTCTTTAAGATGTTTATGATTCAGAATGCATGTAAAACTGACATCTTAGAGACGTGTATCAGATGTTTGCACACAGCAGACGCTTTCCAGATGAAGCGATCTTTAACCTGTTTAAGCAGTGAGAGGGAACACAAGATCTGCTAAACAAATGCAGAAAACGATACTAGATTCCCTTTCGATCTGGAAACAATTGTTATTGCTGAAACAGATGACCTAAAATAAAACAAGTGAAAGCGATATGAGGATGGAATGATAGACAGAACGACAGAAAGAACATCACAACAACAGAAAACACAAAAGAGTGATATAATGAATCATAAACATCATAGTGCACAGAACAGAAAGCAGACAGTCGTACCTTGAGCTCGTGTGATTAATACTGATGTCAGTATCAGGATCAGCAGCACTCGAACCTGCATCTGCTCAGCTGACACACACACACACACACACACACACACACAGAATTAATCACACAACATCACAAACCTACATTCATTTACATTCATTAATTTAGCAGACGCCTGTATCAGAAGCGACTAACAAATGAACAGCGTCATCAGTTCTCACACACACACACACACACACACACACACACACACTTCAGTGCAAGAACAAACGAAAACACTCGTTTCGGATTTAGCGAAGGTACACGAAGAGCGCAGCGTTACATTTCAATGCCGATCTTCTCAGAAAGCACACAAAATCTCACTCACCTGCGTTCACAACATAAAAGCAGAGCAGCGCGAGCTCAGAGCTGAAGAGTCTCGTGCAGCGGAGCGGAGGATCTTCAGCCGCAGAAAGCGAACGCGTTCCCTTTAATTGAACTCCTCCGCGTCTCTGATTGGCGCTGACAGACAGGAGCGTCTCACCTGAGTCCTGACTCTCTCAGCATCACAGCACATCCACGGAGCCTGCAGAGAAGAGCGCATTAATAGCGTCACGTGAGTGTGAAGATGATGATGAATGAGGAAGAAGCTGACCTTCCTCGACACACTAAAACTCCTTCTGTTAGCTACAACCCTCAAATAATCCATCCAGCTCTCAAAAGAAAAACGCATTCCTCAAAACTGTAAAGAATATCCATCTTTTAGACACTCGATTCTTCTGAGAATCATGGTTTGGCAGGTCATAATTATGAGATGAAAAACCGAAATTATGGCTTAAAAACTAGAAGACATGCATAGAAAGTCGGAATTATGGCATACTAAATCATAATTATGGGATCAAAAATCAAAATTATGACGTAGGATACTAATCGAGATTATGAGAAAAAAGTCGGAATTATGATTTAGAAAGTAATAACGTTGTATTTATTAGATTAAAAATCATTTGGCCTTTTTATCTGTAATTTCAAATTTATTACGTCATAATTTTGATTTAAAGTCCTAATTTCAGCTTTTTGAAATTGTCATTATTTTGACTTTTTATGAATTATTGACTTTCATAATTTCGACTTTTTGTCAATAATGACATACTTTGACTTAGAATGTCATAATTACAATATTTAAATTCATAACCTCCTGAGAAGCAGAAAAAGGTTTTGTGAATGTTGTGGTTTTTATGTCATTACATTGGTTAGAGCATAAGAAACAAATGGAGAAAAAACATTTGTGAAAAAAATATATATTTTATTCATATTTTACTTTGATATTCAAAAAAATAATAATAGACATGAAAAGACATGCATAGGTAAAAACAATGTTTTATTTTTTCATTCAGTTTTTAGGTTTGAGACTATTTTTTAGCCAAACTTTGTACATGATGATTCTCATGTTATGAAAGATGTAACAGAATGATTTGATATATTACTGTACATTATGTAATATGTGCATAAAATATCCATAAATTGGTTTTCCCATTATATTCAAAGTATCTATAGATTGCATCTAATTTGCATATGAATGTGTTCTTGGGGCAAACCAATGCGAGTAATAAGTTGGCAACATTTTCATAAGAATATTTCCCCAAAATGCCTGATTAACATGCCATTTGTCCTGAAGTCATAATTATGACTCTCCAAATATCTTGCTGATCACAGAACAAACGCTCACAGAGGAGCTTATGATGATGAGCTGAAAATGAATCCCAGCCATGCTATATATTACATGACAAAAACAGAGTATTGCTCCGTTCCTCTATAAGATCGTTCAGTGTACGGTAGAAAAGCACTGTTGTGTTACTGCCTCACTGTAGAAACTGCAGCTTCAATTCAATGTTCATACAGAGCTTGGATAGATCACCAGAGTAAACTGAGCAGCTAAAGAGTCTGTGCTCTGAGCTGCTGTCTGCTGTTTTGTACAGATATTGAGTGTTTATAGTTCAGGAAATGTATTTTAGTAATCGACAGTACAGAAACAGTAAAATGACTTGATATTGAATGAAATATAACAATGAATCATTGTGAGCTACTGAACTGATCTGTCTTCAGGAAACATAAGGAATGCGTGTGGAAGCGCTAGTAATGATGACAGTGTGTATGATAGCTTGAGTTCTTCAGTGTCTGACACGCCCTCAAACCCTCAGTAGTGTGCAGACTGAAGCAGTGAGGTGTTCATCTGGATGTGTTCACACTGGCTCACCGCAGCGCTGGAATGCAGCTCCATCAGCCTCATGACAGCAGGTCACCAGCATGACAATCACTCA